TCTCCTGTCGTATCCATTGGCGGGCCTCCATATCTGGGTGTCGGCCATTCTATACTTGTGGCCATATCTGGGTGTCGGCCATTCTATACCTGTGGGTAGTCTAGGTGCACATCCGAAATCGGGCAATAACGCTTTCTCACCTTCATCTCCTGATTCCGATTCCTCCGGCACCTGCTCGCTGCCTGGAGGTTGGGTAATCGCCGCCTCCGCCACGGGTACACCGGCAGCCTCAGACACAGGTGGCGGAACGGGCGGGGCAGTTGGCAACCGGGGAACTTCGCCACCATCAGATGTACTGCCATCACCGAATGTTAGGCCGTCAAGCCTCTGAGGTGTGCCAGGTGCTTGCGCGTTCTCTTGTGGGGCCCAGGGTGATGGGAATTCGTAAAAGAAGTCAGCGAAAGAAATATGGCCGGGCCGTATACCTAAATTGTCAAAAGTCACAACACACCTTGCACCGATTCCCGGACCAACAAAGCAGCTAGGAAAGGTTGGGCCAACGTTGCTGCGCATCTACACATGTTACAACTGCACTTCTGCGATAGCGCCACCATTGGCTAACTGATGACCGGTAGCAGAAGCAAAGAAAAAAGGGAAAAGGTCTTACTGGGCGGCGGGCTCGGAGATTCGCTCCGCAGATCTGAACGGGCTGACCCTTCTGCTGGAGGTGTAGGTCGTTCTGATGGCAAAGCAATGACACGCGAGGGGGGCTAGCCTACATCGCACTGTGGCAGAGCCATTTGCTCCAGGGCCCTGGCCTCCCCAAGCAAAAGGGCTTCATTTTTGCTAGAAAGGTTTACGGAGTCTTCCGTTAGATACATTGCTGTAGCCTGCGTATCTGGGTGTCGGCAATTTTGCTCCTGTGGGTAGTCTAGTTTCATGTTGGAAATCGGGCAATCACATCTTCTTACCCTCATCCGCTGATTCCGATTCCTCCGTCGGCTGCTCGCTGCCTGGCGTTTGGGTAAACGCCGCCTCCTCCCCGGCTGCACCGGCAGCCTCAGACACAGGTGGCGGAACTGCAGCGGGAGTTGGCAACGGGGGAACTTCGCCACCATCAGATGTACTGCCAGCGCCAAATGCTAAACCTCCCTCCGCCACAGTCGCGGCAGATCCATCACCACCTTCTGCTGACTCCAAGGGTGACGGGAAGTCGAAAAACAAGTCAGCGAAAGAAATACGGCCGGGCCGTATACCTAAATTGTCAAAAGTCACAACACACCTTGCGTTGTCAAGAGGAGCACAAGCAGACAGCTAGGAAACGCTGGGCCAACGTTGCTGGGCATCTACACATGTTACAACTGCACTTCTGCGATAGCGCCACCATTGGCTAACTGATGACCGGTAGCAGAAGCAAAGAAAAAAGGGAAAAGGTCTTACTGGGCGGCGGGCTCGGAGATTCGCTCCGCAGATCTGAACGGGCTGACCCTTCTGATGGAGTTGTAGGTCGTTCTGATGGCAAAGCAATGACACGCGAGGGGGGCTAGCCTACATCGCATTGTGGCAGGGCGATTTGCTCCAGGGCCCTGGCCTCGCCAAGCAAAAGAGTTTCATTTTTGCTAAGAAAGAAATCACATTCTTCTGTCGTATCCATTGGCGGGCCTCCATATCTGGGTGTCGGCCATTCTATACTTGTGGCCATATCTGGGTGTCGGCCATTCTATACCTGTGGGTAGTCTAGGTTCACATCCGAAATCGGGCAATAACGCTTTCTCACCTTCATCTCCTGATTCCGGCTCCTCCGGCACCTGCTCGCTGCCTGGAGTTTGGGTAATCGCCGCCTCCGCCACGGGTACACCGGCAGCCTCAGACACAGGTGGCGGAACGGGCGGGGCAGTTGGCAACGGGGGAACCCCTCCTTTATCAGATTTACTGTCTTCGCCAAGCGTTGAGCCTTCCTCGCCCTCAGTCACGGCAGATCCATCACCACCGTCTGGTGAATCAGGGCGTGCTGTTATGTAGGACAAAACATCAACGAAGGGAACAGGTCTGGGCGATCCACCTGAATTGTCAAAAGTCACAACACACCTTGCGTTGTCAAGAGGAGCACAAGCAGACAGCTAGGAAACGCTGGGCCAACGTTGCTGGGCATCTACACATGTTACAACTGCACTTCTGG